GTCGAGTTCTTGTGAGTCTAACAGGTTATGGGCCTTCTCTAGACCTCACTTGCATCTTGCAACTTCGCTTTCTGAGTGTCTCTGCTGTGTGCCACCTCCCTTTTGAGCCACACAAGCCACTCCCTTCACTCTTAAGTCACTCCCTTGCTCTTGCAGCCCCTCAACTCGCCCTTCAGCTTATACCTTGCTGTTGAAGCCACCCAGTGCCACTACAACTCGCTCTTCAGCCTCTCTATTGCTCCCGCAGCCCTACTACCTCCTCCCTATCTGCTTGACTAGTTATCTCGTGCTTTGCTCCTAACCAGTGCCTCCATTCTGCTGTTACTTTGACAGACCCTTTGTCTTACACTTCTCTCTTAGGCTCATGGTCCTTGAGTGTTAGGTAGAAGTTTACTAGCTCAGAGACAAACTCTTTGATTGCGTGCACTTCAGTGGGCCACATCTGGAAGTCGAATCTTCCCCCTGGACAATCTGGAAAGGCCCTTGCTTTAAAACAGAGTTGGTATTTCCTCAGGGCAACTGCAAATCTGGGCTGTGAACTTCATAGTTTAGCCAAGTAGAAAAAGTTGAAAGAGTAGATAGGTAGGATAGGCTAGAATTAAGTAAGATAGGCTAGCTTCTAAATTTTAGCATACTTGTATCTCTGCCAAAGAACAGGCTGGCTAGCGAACCACACACACCCCACACATTTCATACCCACACAGCGCATTCATCACCATCTCCATACCCCATCCAACACCTCACCACAATGAAATTCACCAAATTGCCTCTCCTACACCCATCACAATGTCAGACAACACCAACTCGTCCTCCACCACCATCACCTTTCCCCTGCTCTCTGCCCACAACTACAGCACCTGGAAGTCCGATGTACAGGCTGCCCTTTGCTCCAAGGGTCTCTGGCGCATTGTCTCTGGCTCTATATCCAAACCAGATGACAAGGAGGCTGAGAAACTCGAAGCCTACTTGGACAAAGCAGATAGAGCAGCTGGTATCCTGTCCTTGACAGTGGACAAAGACCAGAGGGTGCATCTTGCAGGCATAGAGGACGATCCAGTGAAGATCTGGGCCAAACTCGAGGAGATCCACATGGCCAAGGTGCAGGCACTCGATTCAATGCCTATGATGACCTGTTCTCAATCCGCCTTCGAGATACAGAGTCTCTGTCTGCACTCATCACCAAAGTGGATGATGTCATGCTCAGAATCAAGGGCCTTCGACCCTCTGATTTTGACTTGACCAAGATGGATGATGAACTCGCAATCATGGCCCTTATCAGGACCCTACCTCTAGAGACCTATGAAGGCTTTGTAATGTCTCTGCTGCTCCAGAAAGACTTGACAAAGGCACAAGTACACAAGGACTTCACGAACTGGGAGACTGCAAAGAAACCTCGAGGCTCAGAGGCTCCTTCCTCTGCATCGGACTCTGCTCTCAAAGCTGCTGCTCCTGCTTCAAAGTCAAACCCCACAGTCCTGAAGTGCGCCTTCTGTGACAAAAAGGGTCACGATGTCTCAGTCTGTTGAGGCCTGGCATTCTACAAGAAGCAGCAGCAAGAGCAGAAGAAAGCGCAGGCTGCAGCAACAGAATCAGCTGGCAATGCAAGTGCTTACTCCTCTTCTCCCTCAAATCATGTTTCTGATGAATGGCTTATAGACTCAGGTGCTACAT